CTATTCACCTACTTCTCACATCTACAATTGTTTGAAACAGCCTCAATGTCACCATTAATAGATTAATAAAGTATAAGTTTGAAAATCACAAGACACAGAATACAATAGTAAAATGTCTATTAAATCAAGATGTAAGATTCTAACCTGAAGCTCAGAATTAGTCTCTGATCCTTTACCACTTTTGAAAGATAGTAAAGAAAGAATCCTGATGCATTTTGAGATCATATCACCAACATTTGAGTAGAAAGACTTGGAGGCAAGTCCAGAGTGGGGAAAAAAGCAAATGTTCTACACGCCAGCGTCACAGTCCCAAAGTGGTCTTCCGTCTCTCCAGTGAGGAGAGGTGTCGTGAGGAGGCGATGCGCTACTTCAAAATAGTGATGATTCAAGAAACATAGCAAAAGAAGCAGATTAGTATGAGCAGTAAAAGATAACATGGATAAAGAGTAAGCTAAGCTGATTTTCAGTGTTTAAATCTTAGTAAGTTAACTGAATTAACTAAATTAGACCTCCAAAGCTTCCATGCCCTAATAGTTTTGTGTTCGGAATAAGAAGGAAGATGGCTTCAAAAACTTCATTTATTTGTTTTTCTTACATTTTATATATTCCAACAGTTTCTTTTAGGCATAATTGATATACAAAAACTATGCATATTTAGCATGTTCCTGTGTGTGTTTGTGCGTGAGCTTGTGTGTGGTAGGAACACTACATGAGATCTACTCATTTAATACATTGAAATGCGCAATGCTCTGTTGTCTGGCTTGGTCAGGGGCAGCAGAAAGAACTACTCAAGATAGGAAAGTCAAGAGATGTGAGAGGGAGGCTAAGGGAGGTTTCCCCGAACCGCTATCAATCTCTCATATTTATTGAGCATACATTTAGAAAAACAATGTACAGCACATCAGAAGGCTTTGTGCCAAATAGGATGTTGCAGGGTACGTGCAGGCAATCAAGTAGAGCCATTACCATGACTTCAAACAAAGTAAAACCCCATGCACCCAGTAATAGACAAGTGAAGCACGTCATGCTGCCAAGGAAACAGTGTTCTGCTTGCAGTGTGGCCCTACCGCTTTCTAGTTCAGGACTTAGCCATTTGGTTGCCCACGGATCCCCCCTTTTTGGTTTTAATATCCTTCAGGCTTCTCAGAAAAGAGCAATGTAACCAGCTGTTGCTCATGATGCTTGGAGTCAGTCATAATGATACAAATCATTCATAAGGCTATGAGAAAAATGAAAAAGATTAACAGACAAAGAGCTACAATGACCCAATACATAAATTAATGCTCTGGAGCCAATTTGTTGGGTAACCATTTCATGATATTGGATAAATCTTGTTCAAGCTGTTTTTGTGTTTCTGGTTAGATATGAAGTAACTGTTGATGTAATTGAGTAGACAAAGCATTAAGTTCCATCTGTAGATTGGAGGAGAAGGCTCTTTGCAAGTGTTTCTTTACAAGGTCCTATGAGTGCTGGGACTGATCATACGGCAATGGTGTGACCAGATTTTGTCATGTGTTCAATCGCATTGCATGTGTTGTTGATCAATGAGAGCTTGTTGTCGGTCCCCAAGCCACTCAAGAGCAGCCTCCACAGCTGGCAGCCTCTGCATAAAGCCATTATCAGTTTGTGTTTGTGTTATCTTTGCTCAAGTGATGTTAGTCATAACATGGTTAACTACCTGTTAAAATTGCAATATTTCCAGAATCTCTCACCTGACCTTAGTTCATCGCCATATTAGTAGGTAATTACAAGGGGAGCCCGGCATATCCGACAGGAGAGGTTGGGTGGGGTCCCTTTTTGCCGCCAGGTTGTGAGAGACACAGGTAAGTATAAGTGGACAACTGCTTGTGAGCAATAAACAGGTTTCTCCCCTTTTATTTCTCTCTTTGACTGATTTCAGGTCAAAGGTATTTTACCCCAGGCTGGGAAAATATTCCCACCCCAAGAGTTACACTACATTAGCCGTGTGGATAGATTCTTTAATAACACTGCTGCTACAGAGGCAGTAGCTAAAATAATGGCTGCCGAACTGAGGAAGGCAATGCGCCGTCCAGTAAATCTCTTGGGTCTCCATGCAGACATGCCTGGAGTCAATTTAGCAAGACCATTAGACCCTTCCCAGGGTCGCGTCAAATTTACCAGCAACCAAACTTGGGGATGTCTTTTTAATATAACCACGTGTGAAATATTGTGTTTAGTCACATGATAATGGCTAATGCAGGACATATACCAAGCCATGGAAGTCACCATAAAAATATAATATGTGTTGTCAAAAATTTTATCTAAATTGTTGCTTGTCATTTGGAAGATGTAAGGATGAGGAGTCCTCCGTAGCATGTTGTTAGAGATACTATGGGTGAGATACATGTGAGAGCAAGTCCAAGGGGCAAAGTCTGGGGCAAATGCCTCTGAAACCAAAGTCAGCCAAAGGGAGGAGTAAAGGGGGAGAAACCCAATTATTGTTTACAAACAGTTTTCGGCCTCTGCTCAACTGTGACTCTCGCAACATGGCTACAAAAAGGGACCCCAACCAACCTATTGGGTCCAGTCATGCCTTCTCTCCCTCTTGTAATCACCTATTGATATGGAGATAGCCTACTTCTCTCCACCCCTAGGAGACACCTACTGATACGGAGATACACTAAGGCCAGGAGAGAGATTCTGGAAATACTACAATTTTAACCACAAGGGGGACAATTCCTGAGGTCTGACTGCAAAACAAATTTGGCAGAATGATGTTATGCATTATACATTTGGCCATCAGAAATATAGACATGTATTTGTAGATACTTTTCCAGGATTCATAGTAGCTTCCGTTCATGCAGACAAAATGCCAAAAAATATCAGTCATTTCTTATATGCATTTGTGCAGATTTAATTGACATATAAGTGTGCAGGTTTAATGTATGCAACATGTTGATTCAATACCCATATGTAGCAATGCACTTACACTGTACAAATATAGCAATTTAATTACACTGTAGCATTAGCTAACATGTCTATCACATCATAGAATTGTGATATTAGATTGGCCAAAGCTCCCAAAACAATACCTAAACTCAAAGATACAAGTAAAATGGTTCGTAGTAAAATAATGACTAGTACATAAGCCAAGTGTCAAGATAAGTGGAGAACAGGAGCTATTTGCCATACTCCAAATTAATTTTTAAAATTAGATATTAATAAATGTTAATGACAACATTGTCAAATATAAGAGGTATGGCTGGAAACCCAAATAAGATAATTTCCATAGGAATATTAATTGTGAGAGGCTATATTTCAGTATTAATATGAAACATGCAATTTAGACAAAAATAAAACACAACTTATAAACATAAGATAGCAACTAGAAAGTCTGGCTTGGTGTGTTACAAGACATGGGGTGATCCTAGTGGTGACTCCCTGTAGCTGGTGTCCCAGCTGCTGAGCTGGGTGCAGACGCTGAAGCATTCTGCATGAGAAAGCAAGGGACTGAGACGGGATGTGAGCCACATGCTGCGATGCAGCACTCAGCACACATTTAAACAGTTTATTCTCAGATGCTTTCATCATTAAAGAAAAACAAAGTTTGATGTTTATTGTATAGTAACATCTATTAGAATTAAACATACAAACACATTTTCCTCTGCATACTTTCTTTTGTTAAAATGAATACAGATGTAAAAGTTTATTAATTTTTCAAATAAAACACAAAAGTATACAGCCCAAAAACTGTCTACAATTGCAAAGCATGTAAATAAATAATTCTTCAATGTAATTCCTTTCCATCTGTATTATTAAAAAACACTAAAACCTTTCCATGACAACTTTAAAAAAGTACAAATTTTTAAACAAAAATTATATTTGATTTAGAACTGCTTGTGAGTTTACTCAATCAGGGCCTTGAATCATGACTGTCACAGGTTGTTCAATGAAAGATTTCATTCTTACAATAGACCATGGTTATCGGTATATTTGGATATCATGAAAATAAAACAGCTTTTTTCCTAAGACTTTTTCCTGAGAATTCCTGTCCAAACTCAACTATACTACTACTCAACTATACACTGAATAAAACATTATATAAGCAGTACTTGCCTGTGAAGTTTTTAAGGATACTGAACACAATATCTATTTTATGTTTGAGAGGTATCATGCATTGTGAGTCTAAATCAGAGCTTTCTTGTCCTCTCTGCATCATTATTAACTCCTCCTGGGCCAGCGTTTGGGTTCCCTGTGCCTCATCCATCACATGCAATCTGTATCCCCTGGGCAGGAGCACCGGTGGCTGAGAGCAGCAATCTAAGGGCCATCTTCTTAGTCTTTGTTTTTCTAAATGATCAGATTACAGTTTAAAAAAATGTAGTTACTGTTCATCATCATATGTTTTCTGGATGCAGGACAGTGACCTCTGAGTCCCTCCTGTGCTGTGCTGATGGCTGTCTCCTGCCCACGGCTTGTGGGCTTATTCATGGGGACTAAGAAACAGATTTTATGTTGTGTATGTTAATGATATGGTTGGACCTGTCTATAAGTGTAGGATTTTATTTTGCATGTGAACATATATATTATATAATATATACTTTTCTTGTACAAATGTGAAAAAATAAGACTACATTACATGTTGGAAAGAAGAAGGCATATTTCAGAGTTAGAGAGTGCTGAGTTTTAATCCTACCTTTGCTACTGAAATCAATATGTAAATGGGGAAAATAATTATCTTTCCAGGACTTAGTTTATTTATAACAAAATCACTATGGTAAGACAAAAGAAAAGTTCACTCTTTACTACTAATGCTAATACTCAAAAAGAGCATAATGCATTCACTGAATAATCCAATTTGCTCAAGGAAATATTCTCTTCATATGATTAACTATAGCTTATTTATATATACCCTACTGTACCAAATAATCATACAACTAAAATTATAAATTTACCTGAATTTGTGGATAATTTTTTATGGGTACTCTTTTTCTCCACTTTGATTTCTGAAATAATTCAAGTCAAACAAAAATACCTATTTAGTCGCAATTGAAAATGCTTTTGAACATTCTGCCTACAGCATTCTTTATCTCCCTGTTCCTCAGGCCAAAAATAAAGGGGTTTATAAAGGGTGGGATCATGGAATAGAACATGGTCATAAGCAGAGTTTGAATGTTTGATTCATTTGAGACAGGACCCAATACAGCAAACAATCCAGAAATCACAAGAAGAATAAGTGTAGCTACCTGAGGAGAGCAGGTGGACAGGGCTTTGTTCCGGGCTTCCACAGAATGCATGTGTAGCACAGCTGAAAAGATGTGAACATATGAGGTGAATAAGATGACAAAGCAGAACAAGATGATGCAGGCGCTCAGAGCCAGGACCACTGACTCAGAAAACTGCACGTCCTGGGATGAGATGTTCAGGACTTCAGGGATGTCACAAAAAAACTGGTGGATCACATTGGACTCTGTGAAGGGAAGCCTGAACATGGTCCCTGTGTGGACAGCAGAGTAGACCAGCCCACTGGCCCATGAGACCCCTGCCACCTGTGTGCACAGACGTGGGGTCATAGTGAGCCCATAATGCAGAGGGTGGCAAATGGCAACATAGCGGTCATAGGACATGACCACAAGGAAGAAGAAATCTGTGGCTCCAAATAATATAAATAAGAAAGTCTGAGCAGCACATTCTGTGAGAGAAATCAGTTTACTACCCATTAGGGAATTTATGATGGATTTGGGGACAGTAACTGAGATGAAATCAAAGTCTATCAGAGATAAATTGCCTATAAAGAAGTACATAGGAAAGTGAAGATTTGAATCCATCACAATGACGGTAAAGATCACAAGATTTCCAGCCAGGGCACCCAGATAAATCACTAAAAATATTAAACCTTGCAATACTTGGAGCTCCCGGGAGCTGGAGATGTCCATGAGGAGGAACTCTGTGAAGACGGTGAGGTTCTCTGCATGTACCAGCATGCTGCAGTGACCTGTAGTTGATGCATAAAGTGATGAGATGATGCTACAATCAAAATGAAGACAGTGCCAAATGACCCACCTCTGCTAGATTTTCATATACATTGACTTAATGAAATTAAAGATGCATATGAAGAGATGGTATAAAACTCTCAAATCTCACCACTTTTTTGCATATTGCTATTTTTTCTGTGGTACACCTCTGCATTTAAATTTTAAGTATTAATAAATGCGTATGCCTTTTCTTCTATTAAAGCAACTGCTCTTGGTTTCTTTGGGAGACCCAACAATAAACGTAACAGGGAGGAGGGAAAGTATTTCACCCTCTACACATACCTCGTATAAGTTTATAGATTGCAGAGTGCTTAGTAATTGGTAAGGTGAAAGACTCAGGGTACAGGAAGACATGAAAACAGTAGTAACATTGAATGTTCTTTGTATACCTTGGAGATTTTATAGTTTTCTTCAATGAAATACAAAAATAAACTTGTATCCCTGTAAAGGAATGAGCCCTCAGATCACAGTCATACCTGAGGACTGAGGTAGGAGCTCTCTCTTTTGCACAGCACTCTTGCAGACACAAATCCAGTGCCATCCAGTTGTTCTTCAGTGAGCAGGAGCCCCAGGCCCTTTCACAGAGGCGTATTTTTATTATAAACCACATGGAGAATCGGGCACCGGGCTTCTCTGAACTGTTTGGTGATCACTCTCTGGAGGCACAGTTGTGCTTCTGAAAAGCCTCAAGGGGACTAGTGATTGTAGCCTCCTGAATAACTGACAGCCTATTGACACCTTGTTTCCTATAGATGTTTTGGCCAATCCATTGAGATTACTTAGGTCAGCAAGAGTCCATTTTTAGATACGATCTTTGAAAGAGGTTTCATAAAACTTGAGAAAGCACAAATCCTCAAATGGTTCATGGGTCAGTAGTGGCTTAAAGTATAAATATATTTATAAAATGTGTGTTAATAGAGTGAAGTAAACCACATCAGAAGGTGTGTTCAACACACATCTGATTTGTTTACCAAAATTACCTGATGCAGACCCAAATTCACCCTTAAAAGTGGTAAAATTAATACAGTACTTTAAAACTTTGGCAGCCACAGATTGAAAAATGAAAATGGCTACTATAGGACAATTTAAATTACCATCTATGATCTGATGAGTCTCTGTTGGGTAACTAACGAAGAGGTTATAATGAAAAAAGGCAAATGGACAAAATATCAAAATGATCCTGAGAAGTGTCGTGAAGAATGAGTAGAACAACACTGAATAAATTCTGAAAATAACTTCAAAATTGTATAGTCAAAGAAGCTTGACACCAGTTAAGTAAGATAGTAACAAGAAAAATATACCACTTAAAGTATTTCCCGATTTGGGTTACATACACATTAAAAGTAAATTTGTGTGGAATGCAAAAATGGTTTAAAAATGCATAGTGCACATTTTCCTGTTGAACATCTTCTACAAGCAGATTAAAAGAGCATAAAAATAATTATTAAAATTTCTAGGGCTGCAGTGTCCTCAGAAGTTGCCTTTGGGAAGAGCAGGGAAGGGGTGTGGACTGCGGCAGACCTCAGCACGGGGGATACCCCGGGTGAGAGGGCCTGCTGTGGCCGCCTGGCCCATGGACTGTCTGTGCTCAGGCCCAGGTTGACACTGTCCACAGGTTCATCCTTCTGGAATTACAGTTGATTTTCTCTCAGCAAGGAAATGATGGTTACTTTCTGGACTTGGGGTCCATGGACTTCATAGCAACAGCTCTTCAATAATTTCTGAACAGATGTTTTTGGTTTTTGTCCTTTTATTTAAAATTCTTAAAAGTATCTGTGTTAACACACGCCTCAACAAACAAAACACAAATAATTCAATTAAAAAATGGGCAGAGAAGCTGAATAGACAGTTCTCTAAAGAAGAAATCCAGATGGCCAACAGGGACATGAAAAGATGCTCCACATCCCTAATCATCAGAGAAATGCAAATTAAAACCACAATGAGATATCACCTCACACCAGTAAGGATCGCCATTATAGAAAAGACAAACAACAACAAATGTTGGCGAGGTTGTGGAGAAAGGGTAACGCTCCTACAGTGCTGGTGGGAATGTAAACTAGTCCAACCATTGTGGAAAGCACGATGGAGGTTCCTCAGAATGCTCAAAATAGAAATACCAATTGACCCAGGAATTCCACTTCAAGGAATTTACCCTAAGAATACAGCACTCCAGTTTGAAAAAGACAGATGCACCCCTATGTTTATCGCTGCACTGTTTACAATAGCCAAGATATGGAAGCAACCTAAATGTCCATCAGTAGATGAATGGATAAAGAAGATAAGGTACATATACACAATGGAATATTACGCAGCCATAAGAAAAAACAGATCCTACCATTTGCAACACCATGGATGGAGCTAGAGGTTATTGTGCTGAGTGAAATAAGCCAAGTGGAGAAGGACAAGTACCAAATGATTTCACTCATATGTGGAGTTTAAGAACAAAGGAAAACTGAAGGAACAAAACAAACAGCAGCAGAATCACAGAACCCAAGAATGGATTAATAGTTACCAAAGGGAAAGGGACTAGGGAGGATGGGTGGGAAGGGAGGGATAAGGGCGGGGAAGAAGAAAGAGGGCATTACGATCAGCCTGTATAGTGCATGGGGGACACAGGGAGGGCTGCACAACACAGAGAAGACATGTAGTGATTTTACAGGATTTTACTACGCAGATGGACAGTGACTGTGAAGGGGTATGTAGGGGGGACTTGGTGAAGGGGGAACCTAATAAACATAATGTTCTTTCTGTAATTGTAGATTAATAATACCAAAATTAAAAAAAAAATTTAAAAAATAGAAATACCATTTGACCCACGAATTCCACTCCTAGGAATTTACCCTAAGAATGCAGCAGCCCATGCAGTGATGGGCAGTGAGTGCGTTGGGGTATGGGTGGGGACTTGATAATATGGGTAAATGTAGTAACCACATTATTTTTCATGTGGAGCCTTCATAAGAGTGTATATCAATCAGACCTTAATAAAAATAAAGAAAAAGTATCTGTGTTAATATATATTTTCACAATCAACCAATTATGGCCCCATTTTACACTTATCATGATGTATGTAAATTTGAAAACATAAATAAAATTAATGAAACCCTGGTGAGACTTACCAAGGACCAGGCCAACTATTGCGTCCGGGAAAGGGCCTAAAAAGCACCGGCCCCGCCGGAGTGCGCTGCTGCTCGCTGCGTGTGCTTACATAGCGCCACCTCCGCTTCATGATATTCTGGGGATTTATACACTCAAGAGTTTTGTGCAAATTTATAGGGAGTTATGTCAAGAAGTTATCATAAGAACATAAGATATTATAATAATGAAACATTCTTCTAAAACACAACTTTACCAAAATTGGCAAGATAAAATATTAGAAAAAATAATGTTTCTGCCTCTACTAAATATTTGAATTTTCAACTAAAGTATTCTAATGGAGGAAATTCAAGAACTCATATTGAACTGTAACAAATATTTGAGATAACACAGAATATCTCCATAGAATCTAAAATAATTTAAAACAGTTCAATACTTCCTAATTTTAAAAAATCAGCAAAATAGTAATGTTAGGGCCAACTTTATTCTCATAAACAGTAACTATAACAAAAAACATCGTTTCCTATATAAATATGAAATATTGTTTGATCTTTTTCTGCAGTCAAGGGCAAAACTGCAATGCTATAACCTAACCTTGCTCTGGATTTCCTGACCAATGCATAGAATATCTAAACAAATTTTATTTGTAACAAACACTGAACAAAATCATACAAAATATACTTACTGTGCATATAAAAACGCTTATCAAAAATATTATTACACCTCTAAGGTGTTGAAAAACATACCATTTTTAACAACATGGATAAGTCCGCATGACATTATATTAAATGAAATATGTCAGACACAGAAAGTCAAATGCTGTAAGGTTTCACTTTCATATAAAAAGTCATCAATCTCACAGAAGCAGAGCTAAATGGTAGTTTTCCAGGCTTGGGGAAAAGAAGAAATGGGTAGGTGACAAGACTTAACTGAAATAAGTTCCCAAGATTTATTGTACAACAAAAAGTGTATAGCTAGCAATATTCTATTGTATACTTCAAATTTGTTAAGAGAGTAGATCTTAGGTTAAATGTTCTTATCATGGAAAAATAATAATACAGCAGCATAAGGAAACTTTGTGAAGCAATTGATGGTAATGAACTTGATGTTGGTGATGGTTTTATGGTTAATACTTATCCCAGAACTAATTGAATTGTATACATTAAATTATACAAATTTTACATATACAGAATTCAGTAAAGTGATTTTTTTAAATTATTTATACAAACCATTACAATTAATAAAAACCTATGCTATTACAAAAAATGTTATTATAAAATAATTTTAATATTATTTATAAAGAATCAAGAATAAACACAGATAAAATCTATTAAAAATTTGCAAAGCTTTACCCTGTTTTACACAACCAAATAACAACTACTTAAGGGAAGGATATCATTTCTCATGGATTCAAACTTGATTCTGTGTTTGTCACCCAATAATCCCAATGAGGATGATCACAAAACACAGAATGGTAGCATAAATCTCAGTAAAAATCAAGAACAGGAGGAAACTAGAAAATTCATGAATCCATGGAAATTAATTAACATACTACTGAGCTTTAGTGGATCAGGTAAGGTATTAAAAGGTAAATAAAAAGGTACAAACAGAAAATGAAACATTCCAAACTTCCCAACATCCCAACATTCCAAACTTATAGGATACAGCAAAAAACATTCTGAGGGAAGTTTATACACAGAAATGCATGTATCAAGAATATAGAGAGGCATCAAATAAACACCTAATTTTAAAACTTAAAGAATTACAAAAGGGAAAACAGTCCAAAGTTTTCAGAAGGAAGTAAATAATAAAGATTGAATCAGAAACAAATGTAGAGAATGGGAATGAAAGAGAGG